GGGAGGTTAAAACTTCACAGGGTTAAACAAAGAACAACTGCCAGGGATAAAAGAACCAAAAAACAGAAAAATAGAAATTAATGACTCTAAAACTGATTCTTTTAAAAGTTTAATAAAATAAACATCATGCTACACAGATTGATTAAGAAAAAAAGATGTCAGGGCCTCCCCGGTGGCACAGCGGTTGAGCGCTGGGTTGCGAAGCTGCCCACAGCCTCTGCAGCGCCGGTTCGATCCCCGGCTGCTCCCCGGCCACCAGAGGAGGGTCCCACATGGCACGCAGACCTTTCCTGCTGCCCGCTGCTCCCCTCAGCAGTGTACTTCGGTCCTTCTGCCTGCTCTGCTCCCCGCTCTGGCTCTGGTGAATTCTCTCACCCTCTCGCGCCTCTGACTGTACCCAGTGCATGTATAAATAAATAAATAAATAAATGGATGAATAAATAAAAAAAAAAATCTTTAAAAGAAAAAAAGATGTCACAAGTGCTAACTTCAGAAGTAAAAGAAGACATCATTACAGTGCCTGCATGTCACAAAAGATAAGACAGAAGACCAAAACCAGCACACAAAGAATCATAAAAAAAATCTAAAATCTTTTCCACAAAGATAACTTCAAGACTGCATCATGTCACTGGTAAATTTACCAAGGATTTATGGAGAAAATAGTGCACAGGATACATGCTTTTTCAGAAAATAGAGGTAGAAGGGGTATTTTCCAGTTTTGAGGAAACACTTTCTAATTTTAAGGCCAGAATTTCTGTGAACAAAACTAGATGAAAACATTACAAGAAAAGAAATCTATAAGTTGACAGACTAGATGAATATAGGTCTAAAATTTCTCAAGAACTTATTTGCTAGTCAGATACAAAAAAATATAAAAAGGGTAATGCATCACAACCAAATGTGGTTTATCTTAGGAATTTAAACTTGGTTTTAACATTTGAAAAGCAATCAATGCAATTCACCATGATAATATAATAAAAGGGAAGCATTAGATAATTAATGCTGTAAGTGCAGGAAATAGATTTGATAAAATTCAATTCTCATTTATTATTAAAAGGTATAAAAGGACATTCATGAACCTGATAAAGGACATTTACAAAGAAGCTATAGTCACTATAATACCTAACAGCAAAAGACTGAAATCTTCCTCTAATGTCCTTTCACTATTATTGTAGAAGAATTCTTAGTGCAAAAAAAACAAGAAAAAAGAACACAAGGTGAACATGTTGAAAGGAAGAAAAAACTTTCATTATGTACATTCAAGGTGATGTATACAGAAAATCCTAAGAGATCTATAGAAAGCCCACTAGTTCTAATAAATGAATTTGTCAAATTTGTAAGACAAGAGATCTATGTATAAAAGATCAATTATATTTGTATAATCTATAAGTGAGCAACTAGAAAATTATATATAAAATAATTATACTTATAGGGACATCTATAATCTTTAAATACTTAAGAATAAATTTAACAAAATGATCAGGCGCTTACATTAAAAATTACCAAGCATTGCTTAAACTACAAAATGTCTTGATTAAAGTGGAGAGATGAGTCATATTCACGGATCAGAAGATTCCATATTTTTAAGATGTTCATTTCTCCTAATTGATTACCGATTGAATGAAATTTCTATCAAAATCCTAACAGGATTTGTTTGGAAATGTAAATGACCTAGAATAGCCAAAACACTCTCAAAAAAGGAATTTACTCCATCTGATCTCTAGATTTTAAATCTACAGGGATTTCCCCCCAAAATAACCTTCTACAAATCCTTTCTTCACAGTATATATTTGTGCTCTTTTCATCAAGTGATGGAATTTATTTCCTTTACCTGAATATCCATGCAACATTTCTTGTGATTTGCTTTGACCAATAGCATGTTCCAGAACTGACACTATGTCATCTGGGCTTAGCCTGGTGAGGATAACAAGCCACCAGTTTCATTCTGTTGGAACTCTGAGCTATTACATCAGTATGTCTGAATAATATGATAGAGTTATAAACTGAGAAAAAGCTCTATTAGATGTGAGATGAGAAAGAGGTGGGGGGAGGTGGTGAGGGGGAACTGGGAAGATTGTAATAATCCCTCTAGGACAATGCTTTAAAATTATGAGTGAAGTCATTTGGGGACCTTAAGACTCATCAATCTGTATCAATCCACATCATGTGGAAGAGAAATGAGCAGGCATATGCTGACCCAGTTCTTTCCAAACTGCAGAATTGTAAGCAAATGAGTGGTTGCTATTGCTTAAGCCACACAGTTGGAGGGGAGGTTTGTTATAAAAGAGTAGAAACCTGTAACAATGAATGAGGAAATGATGTTCTCCCTTTTTCTCAAAGATACCATATTGTGCCTGGCATTGAAATGCTCTACAAGTCTCTTTTATAGGTTTTCAACTTAACAGGTAGCTTCTGTAATTTGCTGCAGAAATGAAAAAGTAAAGGAAATTTTATGCACATGGAATCTATAGGTCTTTCTAATTAAACCTGATTATAAAATGAGTGAATACATATGGAAATTATATATAAAGCAGGGAAGAGTATCATTCATCCCACAAAATCAATGTTTTTCCTTGTTATAATTATTTTGTTTGTTTATGCATTGACACATTGTATTTAAAAATACATTTTTATCATTGGGATCACATTTTGTATGAAGATTGCACAATATTCAGTTGTCCATCCATAGGTCTCAAGATCCTAATATGGCGTTAACTGCTTACAGGGTACATCTCTTCTTACAGGTACATAATATATAAGATAGCCCCCATTTTCCCATATTAGCAAAAGTTTGAGAACCAATTCATAGATTCCTATAACAAAATAATTTATAATAAATATGCTTTGCTATAATGACATCTATATATATTTAGGCCATATATAAATATGAAAAAAAGGCCACTGAAACTCATCAATATCATATGAAATTCATTGTAAAGGATGCTGTTTATGTCACTGTGTAATATTTTAATGTGAGGACCCATTGACAAATTTCCTGATTTTTTAAAAAGTTCTAAATTTTTAGAAATTATCAAATAAATTTTTTCCAACTTAAAATATCACATTTTCCCCTTAGGTAAGCCATTATTTTATAGCTTGTGTAACTACTGATCTGGGTTTTTCTCTCAAAGTAAAAATGAAGATATATGGCTCTCCTGCTAAAGTATACACAAACACACACACACACACACACACACAGAGTCTGGAAATTTGTTCTCTGATCTCATTTTGAATTTGCTTCTTAACCTCCATACTAATTTTTTTCTCTTATAGATAATTTGTAAAACTTTATAAAACTGCAATACTTTCTGTAAAAAAGTTGAATTTTAATGACTTAATTGTTATTGTCTTATTTTTCATTTATTATTTATTTCCATCTATAGTTGTCTAGCATATTAAAAACAGAGTTTTTAATAACTATAATTTTTGTTTATAAGGCATTACCATACTTCACTGTTGAAGATAGACTGTTGATTTTTTACTATTATAAAGATTCTAATAATCAACATTGAACTTAAATTTTTTCTGCAAATTTGATTTTTTTTCTAGAACTGGAATTTCCTGCTTAAAAGGTTTTGAAACATATTACTCAATTTCTTCAGAAAGACTATAATAATTTTGAACTTTTACCCTCACATTGTCTACCTCAACACACTTTGCCAGTACTGAGTATATAATACAATAATAATAGAACTTTGTTAATGTGACCAGTTAAAGGGTTTCAATGTAAATTTCAAGGATTGTTAGTCAAAGTCCATATTTTCAATGATACTTGCTTTGCCCCATGTCAGACATTCAGTAGTCGACATGTATATAATTGTAGACAAATGTCTTCTTGTCTCTCTGTTTTTTTTAAAGATTTATTTTATTTATTTATGCATACAGGAACTGGGGTGTAGGGTAGAAGTGCGGAGGGTGAGAGGATTTCCCAGAGACAGAGTGCAGAACAAAACAGGCAGATCTCCTGAAATACACAGGCGAGAGAGGAGAGGTCTGCTGCGCCATGTGGGTCAGCTCCCTGGCCAGGTATCAAACTCATGCTGCAGTGGCTGGTGATAGCTTGACAGCACTCAGACTTAACCCCTTGTGCCACCAGGGAGACCTCTATCTGTTCTTTATATCTCTTTATAGCCATGCTAATTCTACACTTTCAAAGAGAAATAATACGTGGTAGGTAATTTTCAATTTTCCAGTACCAAGTTTATTCTTGTCCACAAGTCCAATACTGGGAATATCTCCTGAGGCTATATGCCAAAATTTAAAAATATTTACAGGAATGTATGGGTATACGTGACACCATTATTTATAATGATGGAACAAGTCCAACAATATTAAAAGTGTTTAAACAGTGTACCTGTAGGATGAAATTTTAGATGTTATAAATTATGCTTACAGAGGTTGCCAATGATAAAATGTTAGGTTAAATATATTGAAATAAAAAGGTATTTTCAACAGTTGATACTGAAAAATCTTGTATACAATGTTTAATTACATTAAGATAAAATTTATTTTCTCTACTAAATGAAAGAAATGAAGAGAAAGAGGTAATTCATAAAATATTGTTACTGTTAAACTCTTAGCTAGCATTGGAACTATCTTTAATTATTATTGTAAAATTAGTTATTTTAATTACATTGCCAATAACCCAAGCTGTGCATATAAATACTTGCAATATCCCTTAGCTGAAAGAATTAAAAATGTATCACAGAATACGTCTATTCTAAACATTCACGTTTCCAGTATAAAACTTGAATAGAATTTTAATTTAGTATCAAAAAAAGAAGAGATAATAATGTTTTAAGGGCAAGAATTTATGGAAGAGAAGGAAATGTAAAACATCAAATACATTCCCTGGTGATTTAATAAAAGCATCTTCCCCTGTGAGACAATATAATCAATCCTGTAAACAGTAGCATGATCAGTGAGGGAGTGTCACCTCAGGCCATGGTGACATTTCAATTTGAAATTCTCAGAGAGGACAGTAAAATCTTGAACTCTACCTGTCAAATGATGGCTTCTCCCCACAGTCAAAAGCATCCTGGAGCTCCTTAACAAGATTAGCCTGGCCTGGAAGTCGAAAGAGACCCTCTTCTTTCAGCCCCCTCTGTCGGATGAAGTCTACACACTGTTCCACCAACATTGGAGCCAGGCGGTTCCCATATCTCTTCTCATAACGGACAGTGTCTTCGAGTTTCTGTCCAAAAATGCCTGGAGAAATAGAGGTGCAAAATTCAATTTGAGAAACTTACGTCTTTTCACTTGGTTGTTTTCCTTTAAAATACAAATACTAGATGGTGTCACTGATACATGGCAAACAGAGAAGCTAAGCAAAGGAACAGGTAAAGTGAAATATAAAAACTAACCCTGGAAAACTGATTACAGAACTGAGGAATCCAGAGTGGGAGGAGCAAGGTGAGGAGGGAGCACAGTGGACTAAGGTGGTGAATGGTGGGTACTTTGGTGGTGGGAGAACTATGGCAACGACACTTGAAGGGTGTGTGTGTGTGTGTGTGTAGGGAGGTGTCCTATACTCCCAAAATGCAAGCAAAGGTATAAACCAAGATCAAATCAATAAAATGAATGAATGAATGAGTAAATAAATAATAAAACTCAATGTGAAGGAAAAACAAAGATTGGAATGGTAATGAACATTTAACATTTGGTAGCTCACATTATTACTGAATCACATTCATTATCTATAATCCTACAAATAAAAAATCTTTACCTTATACTGCCCCTTTGCCCTTGCATTGCACATTTTGTCCCAAGCCAAAATAGCAATGCATAATTGGAGATCTCTACTTTGAAACAATAAACACTGTAATAAATATAATTTTAGTATTTTTTTCTTTTGGATAAGAATTGGATTCATAAATTTAAAAGCACAAATATCCTGCAGATAGTATAAAATTCTATTTTTGTAACAAATTTAACTTGATGTCTAACTTTCATTTAGTTTAAATGTCTTTCATTTCTCTCTTCACCTGTTTTCAATCAAGTGATGAGACCATGGACCATATCAAGATGATAACTAGGGGGCCTCCCCTCCCCTGGTGGCGCAGCAGTTGAGCGCTGGGTTGCGAAGCTGCCCGCAGCCTCTGCAGCGTAGGTTCAATCCCCGGCTACTCCCCGGCCACCGGAGGAGGGTCCCACATGGTGTGCAGACCTCTCCTGCAGCCCGCTGCTCCCCTCAGCAGTGTACTTCGGCCTGCTCTGCTCCCTGCTCTGGCTCTGGTGAATTCTCTCACCCTCCCGCGCCTCTGACTGTACCCAGTGCTTGTATAAATAAATAAATAAATAAATATTAAAAAAAAAAAAAGATAACTAGGAAGGGAAATTCAGAATTTTCATTCATACATTTCAGATAATGATTTCTTTTAAAACTTTAATTTATTTGCTTTAAATAAATAATTTATATTCATTTCTTTGAAAGGGAAATATTTGGGGCTTCCTTGGTGGCGCAGGGGTTAAAGACAGCGTTATCAAGTTATTGGCAGCTACCGCAGCATGAGTTCGATCCCTGGCCAGCCAGGGAGCAACCCACATGGAGCAGCAGAACCTCTCCTGCCTTGCCCGCTGCCTTCCTTAGCAGTGTATTTCAGTAGATCTGCCTGTTCTGTTCCCCACTCTGTCTCTGGTGAAGCCTCTCACCCCCCAAATCTCTGGCCTGTACCCCAGTTCTTGTATGCCCAAATAATAAATTTTTTTAAAAAAGGAAAATATTTGAAGTATGAAGCAGTGCATACCAAATGAGAAGAGACTGGATCGTGGTGGTTTTCTGTGAGGCATGTTTTATTATAGATTGTCTAGATTTGTCACTATATAGTGGCAATAAAAATCCAATTTTGATCAGCTTTCTTATAGATTTAAAAATACTACAGACAATGGGTTTCTTGGTACAAGTATTTGGGACTGGACAACCCCACAATTCACCATTGGCATCCCATTGTTTAAGAAGCTATGACTCTAAAATATATTTATATTAAGCAGTAGTTTGGCAAAAGTGATCCGAAGAGGGAGAAAAGGCCAAGGCAAACATAATTCCAATACTCGCAGGTGGGATGAGTACCACCAAATAGTTTTAATGGTTTAATGAGTTTCATAAATGTGGAAGAAAAATAAATGTTGCATGTTCAAATTATGTCACAATCTAGAAGTTTGGGAAATTTTTTCAAAACCATTTGGTTTAGATTTTGACCGTAAGAACAGATAATTTACCTCAATATCTATAGATTATTTATGGGTTCAGTAATGTGAAATCTACATATTAAAAAAACAGACAAACAAAAAACACTTGCTACCAAAGACAACACTCCTAGCTCAGTTAGAAATAATAACACACACACACACACACACACACACACACACACACTCACCGACTGTTCTACACTTGGTATCAAATCTAGCACTAATGGATAAAAGGCTGAATGACCTAATATTAAAGCAGAATTAGAAAATGGCACTCACTACAGGCAGTGACAATTTTAAGCTGATGACAGATTTATTTAGCTTAGTTTGTAGACTTTGGAATAAGCAGTTCGTCAATAATAGTGGGTGAGACATTGTTCACTAACTTATCAAATAGTCACACCCTGTTTTCTCTTGTCATCTCCACTTTAGAGGCAGGAGAATGTAATACTTCTACTTCTCAAGAAGTCTTCTGGAGACTTTACAAATACATATTTTTCCTGATGAAAGAGAAAAGCTCAGCTGGAATTGCTGATCTTGAACTTGGACTTGCATCTGTCAATGTAAGAGTCATCTTTGGCCATCAGGCAACAGAATGAGCAAAAGACTGAAACATTCACAGAGAAAATGGGGCTAAAATCATTAGTTCACTGACCTGAGCCAACGATGCATCCATGTAGATTTCTTTTTAATGTGAGAAAATTAATTTCCCGTTTGCTTATGCCACCACTTCGCTAGGTTTTCTGTTATTTTCAGCAACACAGACTTCTAAATCACTCAGTAGTTATAATGATTTTGAAGATATTCTAGTATTTTGATATCAAAGAATGCAATAGTTTGATTATGAATGAAGAATTTGAAAATATTAGCTTTTTGTTTTCCCATGGAGTTTTTTTTTTTTTTTTTTAACCAACAAACTCAATGCTTATTTGCCTGGGATATCTGGATTATAACCTATCAAAATTAAGCTTCTCAAAGGCACTTATAGATCATTTAAAATATGCTGACTTTGGGATAAATCTTATTTATTAATGATTCTCCATGTTATTTTTCAAGGAGAAAATCTACTAAAAATATTCCAGTCATATCTCCATGTATTCTATCAATGACAACCAAACTTTCAAGATTTGGTTTTATGCAGTAATAAAAACAGTCAAATATTCTTTTCTTAAACTTTTAGGATTTCTTTTTTGCCAATACATCAGGGAAGAGATACAGGCACAGGTAAATTTTCCTTTAGATGGGATTCTCTGGTTTCTTCTTCTTCTTTTTTTTTTTTTCTTACAAAAAGGCTTGCTTTAAAGTAAGAATTTGCTTGAGGCATAGTATAGCAAGAAATGAAAAATCCCAATATTTTGGCATTTTTCAATTTAGTAAGTAATTATGTACCAAGTCCTTGACATATATTTTTAAATTTTTATAATAAATGTATAAGGTAGCTATTTTATATGAGCAGGAATTGGGACTCAGGTAGATTAAATGACTCACCAAAGTTAGCCAAACAAAACCAAGTAACAATGTCAGCCACATCCAGATTTACTCAGCTTTCAAACCTTTGCTCATTCCAGTCTCTTCCTCTATTTAATCATAATTATCATGTGTCCTCATTTTCTAGTAATGTAAAATATTAGTTAATTCTAAAAATGAGTAAAGTCTCATTATTTCCATACTCTAAAAACTGATAATAGCTAAAATGTAATTACGTGTGTCAGACCCATGGATATAAGCAACTTACTTGCCTTGCTCTCTCAAAACTCATAGCACTCTCTATGAGATAGATACCACCCTTACTCCCATTTTATGGAAGAGGAGACATAAGCACAGAAAGGTAAAGTAACTTGCTGAATGTCACACAGCTAATAAATGGTAGAACCAGGATTTGTTCAAGGCTATTAGATTTCAGAGCCACTCTGCATTTATTACACAAAACTGAATAGCTTGCATAATGGTTGGAAACTGAGCTATGAAGGAGGAAAGCAGCTGCTTTCTGACCTCAATTCCTTCCCTCACACTAGAAGAGGTGTGTTTTGCTCACCAAATAAAAATTTGGGGAAGGTCAGAAAGAAAAGAAAGTAAAAACTCAAAAGTTAATCACCATCTTGCCCAAGCAAAAGATTTTCTTTATGTAAAGATACCTATTTAGCAATGTAATATATAATAGATTAAAAACAGAAAATATGTACATATATTTAGAAATTTCTGTGGAAAAATAAATAACAATTTTCTGTCCTAGATTTGGTCTTGTAAAAAATTAAGAATTAATTAAAAGAGATTCATATTTCTCATTGTTTGGCCTTGGACATAGAATGTCCCCATTGTCTCTGATTTGAATGGGTAGGTGTGAATTAATTCCCTGTATAACAATGATTTTTATGCAGAAAGTTATGGGGTGAAAATATCTTTAAAAAACTTCTTTATTTATTTCTTCTTTTTGAAGGAGCAGTGTAGCTTCAAATGCTAAAGTTAACAAAAACCACATAGGTCATGGGCCTCCCTTGGTGGCGCAGCGGTTGAGAGCTGGGCTGTGGGGCTGCCCACAGCCTCTGCAGCGCTGGTTCATTCCCTGGCCGCCAGCGAGGGTCCCACAAAAAAACAAAAAAACAAAAAAAACAAACAAAAAAACCACATAGGTCATGAGCTTTTCCAACTAGCAAGGTGGGGAAAAGGATACATTGATTAATAGATTATTAACAAGAATATTCCCTGTGGCATGAATCACACAAACAGTCCTAGCTATATCCATTTAAATTCCCAGGGAGGTTTCAGACTCCCTGACAAATGCCATACCCACAATTTCTGGGTGATCATGGTATATCATGTATACATCCCTTGAATGTACACTGATGATGTCATAAAGCATCACCCAAGATATGAGTTTTCATTGGACTGAGAAAGTAAATCACACAAGTGAATTTATTATATCTGTAGGATGCTATTCCAACTGGAAAGAAGGAGAGGGATTGGAAGAGGGGCGTAGAGAATAAAAAGAGCGAGAGATTGATTTAAACCTAAATGTCTCA